ACTTCCTGGACATAATGCCAGTAGCATAGACACTGAGATTGACAATTGATAAATGGGGCCTCCTGAAACTGAGAAGCTTCTGTAAAGGCAAAGGACACAGTCAGCAAGACAAACGACAGCCCACAGAATGGGAAAAGATCTTCACCAACCCCACATCTGAAGGGGGTTCATTTCCAAAATCTACAAAGAACTCAAGAAGCTAGTCACCCAAATACCAAACAATCCAATTAAAAAGTGGGGTACAGAACTAAATAGACAATTCTCAATAGAGGAATCTAAAATGGCCGAAAGACACTGAAGAAATTTCTCAACATCCTTAGCCATCAGGGAAATGCAAATTGAAACAACTCTGAGATACCATCTTACTCCTGTCAGAATGGCTAAAATCAAAAACACCAATGACAGTTTATGCTGGAGAGGATGTGGAGAAAGGGAACACTCCTCCACTGCTGATGGGAGTGCCAACTCATACAGCCACTTTGGAAATCAGTATGGAAGTTCCTCAGGAAAATGGGAATGAGTCTACCACAAGATCCAGAAATTCCACTCTTAGACATAAACTCAAAAGATGCACATTCATACAAGGACATCTGTTCAACTATGTTCATAGCAGCACTATTTATAATAGCCAGAACCTAGATGCCTCTCAACTGAAGAGTGGATAAAGAAAATGTGGTACATTTACACAATGGAGTATTACTCAGTGGAAAAAAAGAAAGAAATCTTGAAATTCACAGGCAAATGGATGGAACTAGAATAAACCATTCTGAGTGAGGTAACCCAGTCACAAAAAGACAAACATGGTGTGTATTCACTCATACATTGATTTTAGACATAGAATAAAGGATCACCAGCCTACAATCTACACTGCCAGGAAAGCTAGGAAACAAGGAGGATCCTAAAAGAGACATGCATGGTTTCTTAGGAACGGGGAAAGGGACAAGATCTCCTGAGAAAATTTGGAGCATTGGAGAGGAGAGAGGGAGCTAAGAGAATGAGGAGAGGAGAGGAAAATTGAGTCAGGAGGAGATCAAGAAAAGAGATACCATAATAGAAGGAGCCATTATAGGTTTAAAGAGAAATCTGGCACTAGGGAAATGTCCAGAGATCTGCAACAATGAGCCCAACTAACAATCTAAGCAATAGTGGAGAAGCTACCTTAAATGCCCTTCTTTAATAATGAGATTTATGACTACCTTATGTGCCATTCATTGAGTAGCTGATGGAAGCAGAGGCAGATACCCATAGCTAAACACTGAGCTGAATTCCTGGAATCCAGTTGCAGAGATGGAGGAGTGATGAGCAAAGGGGTCAAAACCAGGCTGGAGAAACACATAGAGACAGCTGACCTGAACAAGGGGAAGCTCATGGACTCCAGACTGATTTCTGGGATACAGCATAGGACTTATCCAGCCCCTCTGAACGTGGGTGTCAGTTAGGAGGCCTGGGCAATCTGTGAGGCCCCTGGTAGTGGATCAGTATTTATCCCTAGTACACAAATGGACTTTGGGAGCCCATTCCACATAGAGGGGCACTCTCTAAGCCTAGTCACATGAAGGAGGGCCTAGACCCTGCTCCAAGTGATATGCCAGAGTTTGAAGATTCCCCCATGGAAGGCCTCACCCTCCCTGGGGAGCAGAAAGGGATGGGATAGGGGGTAATCACCTGTAAACATCAAAATCAAAAAGCAGATCACATACTTCCAACATACAATGGCACAGGATATATATTGCCATTCCAAAACATGGGGAAGGCAGTATCGGGCAGAAATACAAGACAGAAAACCAGCTGGGTGAACTCCAAACTCTGCATCTCTGTGTCTGATATTAAAACACTCTTCAGATATCCAATTCCTTTCAGCTTTGTTGACTGCAACAAACTTTTTTCTCTTGGGTTATTTCTACTCCATGTTAGAAGCTTCCCTTGGCAAGTATCCACTGGTCTGTTATCTCTAATGTCTTGGATTCTCCAAGGCAAGCCTGGCTTCAACCTCACAACTTCATGCAATGGCCTCTCTACTGGGCCTCCACTCAGGGACATCCCTGTCACATGCCTGGCCTCAGCAGCTTTATTCCACAACTTCTTTCTTCTATTCTTAACTGTATACCCAGAACTGCATGACTGAAGCTGCCAAGTTCTGCTGCTCTCTGGGGCTGGAACATGGCCCCCTCTTCAATTACATCTTCACCAGCTTTCTGTTTTTGATTGTTACCTTTGCTGCTTAAGCTTGGCTGTCCTTGAACTTGCTCTGTAGTTCAAGCTGGTATCAATCTCAGGGATCCACCAGCCATTGCTGCCCCAGTGCTAGGATAAAAGGTGTACCCCACTATACCCAACTCTAAGATTTTCTTTAGTTCCTTTTCATAAGTTGGAAACTTAGCTGGATGTGAGCTTTCCCTGAGGTCACCACTCCATTTATTCCATTTCTTAATATGTTTGTCTCCTTGAACACGGGATTTAGCTCTATCCCACTTCCTGGTATCCCTTTTCTCAATCTGTAAATTTTGTATTTTACCATGCTCACCTTGCTCCTTTTCATTAGAAATCTTCATTAGAGTTACCACTAATAACCACACATCAGAATCTATACTAGGCTATTTTAACATTTCTTCTGTCAGCCTGGCATTGGTGGTGCACACCTTTAATCCCAGTACTCCGGAGGCAGAGACAGGTGGATCTCTGTGAGTTTGAGGCCAGCCTGGTCTCCAGAGCGAGTGCCAGGATAGGCTCCAAAGCTACACAGAGAAACCCTGTTTCAAAAACAAACAAACAAACAAACAAACAAAAAAAAAAAGATTTCCTCTGTCAACAGAATTATTCCACAACTCTTCATTTTAGTCTCAGACAGACTCTTCAGACAAGGGCAAAAAGCAGCCAACTTCTTCACCAAAATATTACAAGAATGATTTCTAGGCAACGTACTAAAAGTCTTCTCTGATACCTCTTGAACCAGCCTCCCACAGTTCAAATTACTCTTAGCACATCTGTCTTCCATACTTCTACTAGTATGACCCATTAATCAGTGCTGAAAGCATTCCACTGATTTCCCAGTCCAAAGTACTCAATTTGAGGGTAAGGGAGGACACATTTGGGTGAGAGAACATGGGAGAGGCTGGAGTGAAGAAATGGGAGAGTGAAGTAATGTGATTATATCCTAATTTAAATGTATTCTTAAAATAAATAAATAACAATGTCACGAAATTTAATCAGGCACAGGAGTATGGGGAAATTAGAATTGGGGATGAGGGCTAACCCAAAAGAAGGGTTATGAAAAAAAATACAGAAGCCTACTATCTCAATAGCTAATTAACATACAATTGGAGAGTAGCAGAATACATGTGATATAAAAGAAGAGGGAGGAATATTGTGGCTGAAATCAAGCAGGAATTGAGGTGGAGAGACTGAGGAGAGAAGGCAGAACTGGGTGGATTAGCAGAAATAAGGATGTATGAAAAAGACTTATTGAAACCCACTAGTTAGTAAATTAAATTCAAAATATAACTATTCTTTAAAACAATAGTTCAAATGGAGGTACCCTGCATGAGTGCACACTGTTCCCAGAAAACATGGGCATGTAAGCATGTGTCTTAGTTAAAGTTTCTATTGCTGTGAAGAGACACCATGACTACAGCAACTCTTACAAAGGAAAACATTTAATTGAGGTGGCAGTTTACAGTTCAGAGGTGCAGTCCATTGTCAACATGGTGGGGAACATGGCAGTATGCAGGCAGACATGGTGCTGGAGAGGGAGCTTCTACATGTTGCTATGCAGGCAACAGGAAGTAGACTATCTCACTGGGAGTAACTTGAGCATAGGAGACCTTAAAGGGTATATTGGAACCCTAGTCTGCTTTCTTTTCTCTGCTTCCTGAGCCCCATTGTGTAAGTAGTCTTCCTCACTGCGTGGTCAGCCATGAAGTCCTGCTTTACTTTATCACAGGCTAAAAAGCAGCAGGTCAAGTGCTTCTGGACTAAAACTCCAAAACTATGAACCAAGAGAAACCTTTATTTTTTATAAGTTGATTTATTTAAAGTATTTTATTATAAGATATATAAAATATTACAAATATTAAAAAGTTATTATAAGATATATATAAAACTTTAAAAAGCTGCCATGCCATACCCAAGCAAATCAGGCCAGGAATATTTAGAATGTTTATAAAAGAATAGATGAATGAAGGCACAATTACATGAATATCCAGTTCTATGTGTAGAAATCTAATTTAAGATTAATGTCTTAGAATTCTTTTTATTAATTAAATTTATCTATTTATTTTATATCCTGACCACAGTTTTCCCTCCTTCCTTTCCTTCCATTCCCTACATCAATCTCTCCTATGC